TATTGTTGTAATTATAATTGTGTCCTGTCTTGTGAAATTTTCTTATTTATTGTTGTAGTCTTCTTATTTATTGTTATTGTCATCCTGTAAAGCGCTTTGAGAAGCCACCTTTAAAGGCGCTATATAAAATAAAGTTTATTATTATTATTATTATCATAAATTGTGATGTTTTTTTTTCCTATTCTGAAAGTGGTGAGCAAATTAACCTTAAAGCTTTGATGTTTTTGTGCTCCAGCTTACTCATGTGCTGTTTTTATCTAGATGATAAAATTGGCTCCAGCAGACTTCCAAGGTTTGAGGACAGACCAAAAATGCCGTACACAGAAGCATTTATATCCGAAGTATTCAGACATACATCCTATGTCCCGTTTACAATACCACACTGGTAAGTCCAAGAATCCTATTTTGAAAAAACACATTTCCATACCAAAAACAAAGACTCTTGCAGTTTTTAAACACAGCATTTTCCTGTTTCAGTCTGGTTTCTTCCATAATGTTAAACTATTATTGTTAAATTCAATAAATAAATTCATATGGCATTCAACTTTTAGATACATTGGACATAAACTAAAAAAACATGTTCTTTGATTTAGTATTATGGAAAAAAGAGGCTCTGAAACAATAATTTCATAAAACAATATGAAATGTGAATTTGCTATAATAGCTGAAAATTGCTGTTGCTGATTTATGATGGCTTCTGTAATATTTTGAAAAAAAATAAATAGAATATTCCTTTATACAGTTTTCACAGTGTATTATTTGAAAATTGTGTGAAATCCTATTACTGTGACCTACTGTATGTCATTTCAATATTTCAGGTTATATTCCCAATATCTGTCAGTACACTTCTTCAGTTCTTGGTATTTGTAAACTTTAAGATTTTCTGCAAAAGAGCTCTTTGTCCACCATTTATTACACAGGATTGCACATACACAGTAGCAAACCAAAGCAATAGATCAGGGGTAGGAAACTGTGGTCCTTGAGTCCCATGTTTCTAGTTTTCATCCCATCTCCATTCTTAATAACCGCATTAAGCCAATGAAGTGTATAACAAGACAGATCAGCTGTGTTTTCCACGTCTTATAATTGGGTGTTAATTGAAAGCTGCTTGTAAAACCTGCAGGAACCTGTCAGTGGAAGACAAGGGTTGTCTGCTCCCATATTAGAGGTTAGCTGCTCTCGTAGCAGAGAACTTGATAGATGTTATACAGTACATCCTGGAAGCTATTGAATAAGATTGTGGACAACACATACTTTTTTTGAGTGCTTGAATGAATAGGATTGTGGACAAAATAGACCCTACATTCAGTTCTTGAATGAGTAATGTCTGTGTGGAGATTAACTAGTAGCAATACCTTATGTAAGACATAAACAAAGAGAAAGTGATTTGAGCTGGTAAGATGATCCTCTGCTTTGGAGTGCCAGTTCTACACATCTGAGCTTTGTTTACACCAGACAGAGCATTTCTCCTTTTTGGTTTAGCAAACAAAGAATCAATTATAGTATGAAACTGATTGTTGTTCCTAATGAAATGTAAGAAATGTCGATCTCCATAATTTAAAGGTTTGTTTAGTTTACCTTAGTTTGGGGAAAAACTTGAAATGGTCAAAATACAAACATTTTATTTTACAAGGTGAAATGTAATTTTTTTCTTCATCATTGACAAAGTTACACAGAAACAATACAATAATATTGTGTGATAGGTAATTTAATACATGCGTTTTCTTACAACTATATGACACACTCATGAGCAGTTAACCAATTTGATTTTCTGTTGTAGGTGTTTATTCATAAGAGATGTAGTTTCATTGAGAGAATTCATTGAAAAATCCAAGATTAATATATCACAAATGGAAGTGTATACAGTAATATTTAACAACTCAGAATATATCGTACAACAAAGACATGGTATAGTTCTAGATACTTTACCACAAAACGGTAATCTAAACGATTAATATGAAAATTATTCATCACAATTTGAGATCTTTAGTTGTAATGGGAATAATTGTCTAGACTTAGCAATAATTAAAGCTCTCTAACAGCTAACTGTAGATGCAAAAGTTTTAATATTTCCTGAACCTTTTAAGGGTTGTGTAAAGCTGAATGAATAAATCGACTGAACAGTTAACATTGTGAGAATTAAGAGGTTTAGAAAAATGTCCCATGGAATTTTTTTACAATTATAATTTTTGTATGGTGTGCAGTTATTAATTACATCTACAGGTATATGGATAGATCAGTCTTATCCTTATTGGTGCTTTTTTAATCTAGTACCACAGAAGATACCATCCTCAATGGCTATTTCATTCCCAGAGACACCTGTGTATTTGTGAATCAATATCAAGTCAATCATGATGAGTAAGTATATTACTGTAATTACTGTACTCGCATATTTAACAGGCAGTTAACTATGATGTAGAGATGTAGTGATCTCTGTGCTTCTGTATCAGCACATCTGGGTTGCTGTCCACGAGTGTCCACTCCACGGGTGGAATGGCTGGGTGGAGTCAGGCAGGCCCAATGTAGGCGCAGAGCTCAGAGCTTCATTGTGTCTGAACACTTCCTCTGCTTCTTCTGTTCGCTTGAGGAGTTCTGACCATGGCTTCTCTCTCTCTCTTTCAACACCTACTGTACGGTGGAAGCACAGTCTCAAATGAACAGGCTGCATCATTAACTCTTTCTTAAGAGTCCTCTTCTACCATATAAGCGGGTGTTTCCTATGAAACTAGGTAGTTACTGAAACAGAAGTGCCTGTATCTATTAACATGTTGCACCTCCTATCTCTTAAACATATACAGTAGTTAAATAGAAGCAATTGTTCCCTTGTCCCATGTTTTCTTTCTTTCTACTACTTGGATGTTTCTTGCAGTTATAGAATCTGGGGCTGGGCTGGGCCAGCATCCTCATTATATTAATCAATGTTTTGGATTTGTTAGTTGGGGTAGAGCCAAAGGTACTGGGGGCAGATATGGTGGATGTAGGAGGTCTGGCAATTGCAGCAGCTGGTGCTCCTTCCTTCTAAGTCCCTGTCTTTCTTTCCCACTTCTAGTAGTCTGCCTAGCAACTGTCAATTGTTCCCACAGAGTTCTGTTAGTATTATTATACTTGAGCTCCAGCAACGCATCATGGATCGCTTATCTTACTCCTGGGATATGGAGTGTTCTTTCTCAGTCAGTCTCCCATCACTCTCCATTCTCACTCAAACAAGGTACTGCTTCATTCTCTTGGGGCTTGCGGATATTTCCTTCTTTCCTCTAATGTTCTGAGTTCAGAGGAGGGGGGGCACAAGTATTGATTGTAGTCCACCCCCCTTTTCCTTCCCAGTACCTCTCAGCTTCTTGAACCATTTTGTCCTACTCTAGTTCTTGATGCCTGCGGATTCCTAGTTTCATACTTCCCTGCCTTCACGTCAGTTCTTATACTGTATAATTGTATAATGCCAGCATGCCCAAAGGGGTTGGGCAGCCAGTTGTCCTTGGACCCCTAGAGGTTTTTTTTTCTCCTCCAGAGAGTTTTTGGTTCCTCTCCTCCATTGTCTTCTGGTCTTTTCTGTTCTGTATTCACAACATGTATGGCCACTTGCATTGTTAAGCGCCTTGGGGCAACCTTGTTGTGAAAGGCGCTATATAAAAATAAATTTTTTATATAGCATCAACTTTTGCCAACTAATGTGAATTTGACTGTTGAGTTACAGCTTGTGTTGTTTGTCAGCATGTCTCAGTTAATTGTGTTGAAGGTGCCTCCTTGTTTAATGACAACAGTGGTTAAAACACTTCAGAGAATTCTAAACCACAGTTCCTGGACAACCTAGTGTTATTATTGGACTCTTAAATGGATTTGGAAAGATGAGGAAAATCAATTATTGTAAGATTTAATTAATATAATTATGTTCAAAGAACAAGGTTTGGAAAAGGTGAATGAAACTAATCCTTAGAATTCCAGGGAGGGGATGCAGCATTTGTGTTTATTCAGATTTAGTTTCACTCCTTTTATCTGAGCAGTGCTGGCTGTCATGTTAAATGGAGCACGAAAAGAAAAACCTCAGCATTTAATTCATGACTCTATTAATAAAGATTAAACTCCATGTCAGGTAATGGTTGTTGTCTTTGTCTAGCACATCATCCCATAAAGACAACAAAGAAGGTCTGAGAAACAGAAATAAGGTGTTATTATGAGGAGGTGGAAGTACGTGAAAACGTTATGCACGGTAGAAAAAATAAAAAAGAGACCACTTTCCAGAACATTCCATATCCAAGTATTTATATTTCACAACAAGCACAACTATGTCAACACAGCTGCTTGTTTTGATGAGTTCTCTGCTCTGTCATGCTCTTCATCAGCGCATACATTCTTCTGAACGTCGCCGTATATTTTTCTGATCCATTTATTTTACACACTTTTTTCACACAATTGTTTTCACATGAAATGCAGCAAAAAATAACTCACTGTAATATATGAAAACCCCAAACACCCATCGCCCATCTCTCCCAGCAGCATTCCCATCTATGGTCCTGAGGGCTCCTAAAATCTCAGTCATCAACTACAGTGAAACCCCAATAAAACAAGGCTTTGACTTCATACTCCACACCTCCACATGAGAGTGTTTTCTGTTTGGGTTGGCATACTAATATAATAATACAATATATGTCAGAATAATATACAGCAATTATATATAGCTCATCCATAAAAACAGTGAAAGGAGGAAAAGGCAAAGTCTTAATGACTTCAGGGGGTGAGGTCTGTGCCTGGCTTTTAATTTTACTGTACTACTGTATGTCTTTACATTTATGAATCTGAAAGATTGGAAATCACATTCATGCTGTTTTTCATTTTGAATGTTCTTTCTCCATGATTGGCCTATGTTTTTATGTTTATGTCTAAAATCTGCATGAGCTGTATATAAAACACTTGGATCTTAATATACTGTAGTTATTCATAATATTCAGAATCTTGATCCTTTACATTTCCTATAGAAGCAGAGACTAGCATGCTATCTGTGTGTGTGAAAACAATTATATCTACTGCATATCTACAACATTTTATTCAAGAAAAAAAAGGTACTGTATTTCTGAGTTTTTAATTTAAGGTGAAAGAAATCTGACATTATTTATATTAGAGGATCAGCTACCTACTGTATATTTTACAATGGTGGTACTGAAAAAGTAACCATTATTAACCATTCATATTTGTTTTTTTCAGTGCTCTGTGGAAAGATCCAGACAAATTTCAGCCAGAAAGATTTTTGGATGAATCAGGACAATCAAACAAAGACCTAACAGAAAAGGTCTTGATATTTGGAATGGGTAAAAGGAGGTGTCTGGGAGACGGGTTTGCCCGTCTTGAGATGTTCATCTTCTTAACCACATTACTCCACCGTTTTCAGATTAAAAATGTTCATGGGCAGGAGCTGGATTTAAATGCTGATTATGGGCTAACAATGAAGCCTAAGCCATACAAAATCAGTGTTTCTCAGAGACTATAACAGCTTATAGAGGGCAAACGATATTTAAAGCCACTGGCAAACAACATACTAACAATATTGCAAGCTGAAGAATTAAAAATAAAAACTAAGATAAATTAAAATGGCAGTGACAGGCTTTCCTCTTTGAAAGGAAGGTTCAGTGAAATATGAAATTATGGGAAAAACTAAAGCCAAAGGCAATAACAAGAAATGAGCTTAGTGTGCACTGCCTGATTTTAAAGCAACTAAATAAAAAAGAATGTGGAAGTATGCACTCGGTCTCATTAGTAGCAATTAAAAACTGGATCAGAAGTGGCTGAGATCCTGCAAAATTTCAGGGTGAATTTGAATGGCCTGACTGGTTCATTTGGACAATGCAAAATGTTTATCAAGTCCCTACAATAAAACTAATGTAAAGACTCTTTGAGTATACAGTGTATTAGCTTCTAACTAGTTGTACAATATTCCCTTATAATGAAAGATAGTAATGCTCGTGTTACAGTTTTGAAATGGAATAATGACAATATAAAAAGGCTTATACAGGCAGTGTTCTGCTCAACTAAGAAATATTTCTTTGCTAATATCTCCGTCAGGAAAAATATAGGAACACATTAGGAAACACTTTTACAAACATAAGAATGGTGAATATTATAAGAAGTAGAATTAATATTTACAATGTTATAAATGTAATTGTCTTTTAGATCATTGTGTGTCTTTATTAACATCTACAAGTTTTGTATTTAAAATCAGGTACTTCAGATGTGTGAATTAATCACAATATTTTGTAAGCTCTTAACCATATCAGTTGCAATAATATATATTGTGTTTTTTACAAAAATATTTTAAAAAATACTCAAATTTAGTTTTTATAAAAATCAAGCATGTGAAAGTATATAATGTTTCCATTTCTCTTCTGTTGTCTAGAAATGCACTTTTATTTGTTCACTTAAATGTGTTATGATTTAAACTAAAATTAGGTTTTAAATAAATAGCTTTAAAATAAGTTTAATTTTGATTTCAAAAAGGGAATGTTTTACATGTAAGCAGCAGGCAGTTTACTGTTAAGTATGGCTTTAAATATGAATTTGTATGACTGTTCAAATCCAAGACTTCATGCTGAATACTCAATGTATTAGATTAGGGGCAGTTGTTTTATTTAGTAAAGTAGAAAACATTCAGATACAGTGAAAAAAACAATGCATTTCTCTCTGTTGAACTGAACTACGTTTAAGTTGAATGCAGCTTTAAGTAATTTTTAGAGAATAAATTTGTCCCACTATTTATGGTGTTATATAATCTACTTTACATCTATAACAGAGGCATTTTTAATGATTTATATAACTTGTAGAAAAGCTTTAAAGGATATATTTTAAAGAAGCGTTAATCAAAAAGAAGAGATAAAACCTCACATCTAAAATTACCCCTATAATATTTAAAAATTAAACACATTTCATAATTTTAGATAGCTAAGGTTATCAAACAGAAAAAAATCAAGTATCTCGTCTAGTTATATGTTACATATACACCCACACACCATCCATTTCTCCATATTTTATCTCCAAGATTTAAGAAATGCTTCAAGCACGTCTAAAGCTATTAATTCAAGCCTGCCTAAGCTGCTGTGGTTGGGATTTCAGCAGATATGTCTTATTTCAGTTCTTCCTCTAGGCATTGTAATTAGATTTGGTCTCTGTATTTACAAGATGTTTTACAATTTTTACAAAACATACATTGTAAAAAGCCTAGAAAATAGAGTTGTCAAAAAGGAAATGTGGAATAATGACAAAACCATAACTAAAAGCCATGAAGACATTCCATTAAATTAGATATCTAAATTATTCAAGAGAATAGTTTAGAATTCTTACTTTCTTACAATGCCAAATTATACATCTAAAGAAAACCAATACCGTGGAATCATTTGAAGTAACCAACAGTGTAAGACAAAAGCATGGAATTATGATCACTCAGAATAAACTTGTTTACTCATTGTTGGATGCAATATGGGGGATTCAACCCAATATTATTTGTGTTGTTTTAAGTCTCCTGAGAATATAGTCTGGTGGGTTTTGTAGATCTCAATCAGTAGACCTTTGATTTGTTTTGCAAGGGCTAGTTAGGACAGGCATTGACATTGAGAGTGCTAAATACCATGCATTTGTTTTTCTCCTTAAATCAGACATTTTGTTCCCAGCAGTTTTGTGTATCTTCCAATACCCGTTCTTAATATATTGATGATACATAAAATTCTAAAAAAATAAAAAAAATATTTCAGTCTTTTGTTTGTTGCACATTTTACTTACAGCATAAGATGTTATTTTATGCATTTGTGGTGAATGGCATCTCAAAGATATTTTTAAACATCTTAAAATGAAAAAAAAAGCGTTATACAGTACCGCAGTACATTACAATTTGCAATTAAATATTTTCTGTTAAGTTTGAATTCGAAACGTAATGACTACATTTCTAGAATATGCAGTATAAGAAAGTAAAAATGACTGACAAAAAGTCACATTACTAAACTAAGTGATAGGAAACCAAAGAACCCAGCAATGCCATATACATTTTCCAGTAACGCTTTATTATTTATATTTAGTATTGCAAAAAAAATCTGTGAAATGTTTTGCTTTAAATTTATGGCTTACCATGCACACCATTCAGAAGCTATTTGTTCTTCAGAGGAGAGGGTGGTAGTGGTGTGAACAACTTCTTTACAACGTGAATGTCATTTCTCGATATATTAAACTTGGCATCATGTGTCTTTTTCCAAGACAACACTGAAACAGATCTGTGTGTGTGTGTGTTGTTTCCATTTTTGGCAGAGATTATTCTGTATAAATTGTCTTGTAAACTGGGGGAAGAACAAAATTGGCATTCGTGCCCCCAGGAGCAGACAGTAAAAAGCTGTAAATCGTGCCAGGGTATCTTAATGTTCCAAGGCTTAACATTGGGAGAAGACTTTACATTAGGTTTAGTCGGAGAAAAAGAATGTCATTTGGCAGTGATGGCCCACTAGTTTGGAAGAGAGTGTTGCTGTGGAGCAGTAGACTGCAGCAGGTCAGAATACACATTTCTAATTCAAGGGGGAACATAACCTTGAAGGCACAAAAGCTAAAACTCAAGAGACATAAAAAGCATTGTTTTAAAATATAGTATTGACTTAGTGGATAGACTTAAATTTAACAGTGATTCATTAACTCTTATGCCCATCTCAGCTTTATTGAAAATATGTCAGTGTAGGTTCTTTTATCACTGTAAATAAAGATCTATGAAACTTCACATAACCATTGTAAATGAGGTACATATTTTTAAAATTTTGTATCTGCTTTTTTTAGTCAAAAGTAACAGCTCCTGCATGTTTCCTTTCTTTTTCATTGCAGGAGAATAAAGATACTATGACCATTTGACAAAGGGCTGTTTCATTCTGTGAGGTCTTTCAAATTTTACATACAATGTTTACACTCCAGTTTCACAATGATCATGTCCAGGTTCTTTAATGTCCAGCTTCTTTATCACTGCCCATCAGCCTGGAACACATACTGTATATATATATATGTAAACTTGTTGTTAATGTTATTGTTAATGGATTTTGTCCTTTTGTGTTCATTGTTTCTTGTGTCTAACCTGTTTTTGTGGATGCACAATGATATTCATTGCAGTGTTAGTGTCTGTTCTGTAACCTGACACTCATGGTGTAGTTGTCGGTCTTTGTTTAGATGTTGTTGTAAGAGTGTGCGCGTGTGTGTGCTGTTCCGCAGCTTGGTTTTTAGAAGCCTGTTTTTCTTAAAGCTGTTAGTGGTGAGCTCCTTAAAAAGATACAGTTTTGGCAACATTTCCCTTGTTTTCCCTTGTCTCCACTTTTTGCAAATATGTTCACAGTACTGGAGCACTGAAATCAATGCAGTAGTTGTTTTGCTCTTCATTCTTTTTTCCTGTACAATTTTATGGCTTCTGCTCCCATTTTAACTTATAGCAAGGCAACTTAGTCACAGACCCATATTATATCAAAACATCAACCACCTGTTCACTGCGAATTGCAAGGGTAGATCGGTTTCAGTTTAATCTGGATCTAAAATACAAAGGCTTTGATTACAATTTAAATGGTTTAAAAAAATCTTATACTGTAAATTACAAGGAAAACTTGTAGGAGTGGGAAATGTCAAAGTCCTTACCCTTTAAAAAGACTAGCACACTTTTTAAAATTTCTTAAAGAAGAGGTGTCTCCCTAATTATTAAATCAATTTACTATTCAAGGTTCTGATTAAAAATGCTAGATTAAATGAAGGTATTAGATCACAGAAAAACTCATTTCTTTTCATTCCAAGTTGAAAACATTTTTATTTGATCGTGCTTTTAATCAGTGTTTTGTTTGTGTATGTACAGGACATGATGTGTTGTACTCTGCAGTGCTCTGGGCTGTCGTGCCATGATGAACACTATATAAAAATAAATTTGACTTGACAAATTGTAATTATGCTGCCTGCCTCATCTGAATAATTAGAAACTGAAAGATAAAAGGCATTCCCCTTGATTCTTCTTGCAAAACCCACGGAAATGTCTGCATACTGTAATTTGAAAAATAGAGCTACAGACTAGAGAGAAAAGGCTTCAGGAATTTTCAGACTCTGTTTGGCTATACTCATTCCACAAAAAGGTACCTTTGTTTTTTTCACTATTTCATATTTATATATGCCACAAAAATACACTTTGCAATATGAGATACTTTTAGCTCAGTGTTTAATTTGGGCAAGTTCATTTACATACTTTGTTCATTATTATGTGGAATTTATTACACAACTAGGCAGTCAAACACAAACAAAGGATTCCACGATCATCAATGACCAGACTGGAAGAGCAATTCTCCAGCTGATTGTCAATCCTTACTGTGTTAACTTGGCATCATGTGACGGTGTTCTGAGACAACATCAAAACATCAGATCTCACATGAATTAGGATCCGTACATCTATTTCCTAGTACAGCTTTCAACAGGCAAATTGTCCGAAAAATCCCACCTTTGTCCCTCAGTATTTGTAGATTTGTTTATTATTTATACTGTATTTTGAATACATCAACAAATACATTATTTTGAGCTTATTATTTTGAGCTTTTTGAAAGAAACAAATGTGTACATTATACAGTTAACATTAAAGTTATAAATGTGTTAGATTCAAGATGAAACTCGAGTTTTCCATTTCAGTGAAGTTTCAACATCTGTGAACTATTTTACTTCAGATTAATGACTAAACATGATTACTTTATGAGTCTCTTTGTTTTCTTTTGGTGGTATTTTTATAGCCAGCTTCTTTGATGTGTGTATTTAATGTATTCAAAAATACTTGTATAAGAAACTTCAAATGAAGGATAATTGGGTAATACATTTGACTACTTTATTTTGTTGCTAGTAGTTAATTGATCCAGGGATTCAATCCAGACATTTTTTCAAATTAAACTCCTTCAACAATATGACTGTTTATGTTCCAGACTTCCAACACAAAATAAGTCAAATTTAATGTTACATAACAGCATTCACATAATGTCAACGAGAACCTCCAGAGACAAATTATTATTGAATGGATTCATATCTGACTGTCTGAAAAATAAGAAGATAATAACAGTTCATTTTATTAATCACATATTAATTAATATACAGAACATTATTTTAAACGTCAATACTTCTCAGAATCTGTATGTGCTTGTTATAATTTGTTCTCATTTATATGGTTAAGTTTTCTTTAAAATTCCACCATTTCAAATGTATTTCTAAATATTATTTCAGTTCTTGAAGTGAAGACCTGCAGACTTAAAAGAACAGCTTTCCTGGTAAACAAACAAAATGTTTAGAGGGTGGTGCAACATTGCCTTTCAGAATGCTATTGCTCTCAGGATATACACACCAACCAGATGTGCATTGAAAAATGACAAACAGGACATATTTAAAGTATTTTTAGAACTCTTAATATATTACAGTACCAGCAGGACTCTCCAAAGAGGATTCTGTTGCTATAGATGTTTCAATTTTTAAAAACCACTTAAATTCTGTTACATTGTTATGACTACTATTGTTGTTGTGTTTACCTCAATTTCATTTATATTAAAATGAATTTAATTGAGAAACATTTTTAATTCATCCCAAGTGTTTATTAATAGAAACAAGCTGTTTGGGCTTAGTTGTTTAACAAGGTTGTTCAAGAATTTTAGTTTCAGTTGAAAATTGTGAATCCCTTATTATTACTTACAATGAATAAAATATACTATAGTATATCCTATGTGTAGTGTAAAACAACAGTACAAAATAGTATTTTGTTCTAATGTCCAAGTTTAGTGGGAAAGCTAAACCTAACCACACCTCAAGTTTTTTCTTGGCATTTCTGGAATGTTTATTGTTTATTAATGTTTATTTATCATGAGTTGATAATGTACTATAATGAATCAGAATATGAATGTGAAAAAACACAATTCAATTATGCCTGTTCATGCCATAATATTGCTAATCATTTTCAGAATACCACAACCATAGACAAGACCTACCAAACTGGCCGTCACCATGACAACGAGATATGGACCGAAAACCCACAGGAAAACATTTGATACCTGTCACAGATGTCGGAGGGACATGCCGTGGAATGGACAGGAGAGAAGTCAAGACCCTATGTGTAGCTGCAAAATGGGGCAACACAGAGGTTAGCCCAGGCTCAGGAGGTCAGTCGATGTCGGGGTAGAAACCAATGCACTCAGGCCACGAATGTGGGACGACCTGGAAACAAGGCGGGTCTCGCGACATCCGTACCCTCAATGCTGAGCCAGGAGCAGAGGAGAAACAGGAAGTAAATAGGCAACACAACAAGACACACCGGAAAGACACGACTAATCGCAGGGCACTAAGAACAGGACAGAAGTGGAGCACCCTCTAGGAGTAGGAGAGAAGCGTGAAAATACCTAGCTATTTAGGACCTGTCTTTGCAATTTTCTTCACTTTGTTATTTGGTTTTCCCTGTTTGGATTCTTGACAAAGTTTTTCTATTTTTAAAATTTTTGCCTGCACCCTGGTTTTTGCTCTTGGATTTCCTTTGCTGCCTTTGTTTGTATTGTCATGGACCCTCCCTATTTTCTGACGACTCCCTCGGAGTCCAACTCGACTCCACTCTACACTGTGGCTTGCTACATTGCCATTGGATCTGTCTTCAGCTCTGGAGTCCTGCACTTACAGTGACGCCTATTAAAAATGGCAGCTTAGAAAATGTACAGTATTAATTGTGATAAAATTGCTAAATTGGATAAGG